TATTTTAGTATCATTGAGATTAAGTTTTGTTAATATTTTTAATTAGATTTTACATTTAAAGTATATGTTCTTCTTTCATGTTCATTTTAGTTAAAGTGTTAGTAATTTTGTATTTTGACGTTTTTATTAGTTTTTGTTGTTGTTGTTGTTTTAAGTAAGTTTTATTTCAGTTTTAGTTTTACTAGATGAAAATGAGTAAATTGCCTTGGAAACTATAGTTGAAATAAAATAAGTTTATTTTGTATATGTTATTTTATTTTATTTCCGTTAACATTTGTGGTATTGTAAGTAATACACATTTAATTTGGGGAGAAATCTGATTAATTGTGACCCTGGAGCACAAAACCAGTCCTAAGGGTCAATTTTTTGAAATTTAGATTTATACATAATCTGAAAGCTGAATAAATAAGCTTTCCATTGATGTATGGTTTGTTAGGATAGAACAATATTTGGCCGATATACAACTATTTGAAAATCTGGAATCTGAGGGTGCAAAAAAATCTAAATATTGAGAAAATCATCTTTAAAGTTGTTCAAATGAAGTTCTTAGCAATGCATATTACTAATCAAAAATTAAGTTTTGATATATTTACGGTAGGAAATGTACAAACTATCTTCATGGAGCATGATCTTTACTTAATATCCTAATGATTTTTGGCATAAAAGAAAAATCAATAATTTTGAGCCATACAATGTATTGTTGGCTATTGCTACAAATATACCCCAGCGACTTAAGACTGCTTTTGTGCTCCAGGTACACAATTTTTATTCATGCAATATTTACATTTAATACTGTATCATTTATGCATTAATTTGCTTAATCTAACTGACTGTGTACAGATCATCAGCTACAGTTTTAATGATTTCACTGGTGACGAATCCTCTCATGTTCCCTCAGGAATACGAACAGCTTGTGGCGCAGCTCAACGGAGCAAAGACCGAACTCAAGGAGAAAGTCCAAACCATCTCACAAGCAGCAGCCAAAGAGAAGATAGTGAAACAGGCAGAAGAACATGCAGAAAACATGCACAAACTGGCCAAAGAGCTGCAAGAGTAAGACACTTCATTAGTTTACACACCTGCCTCTCGTGTTCCCACATTGTGTTGCTTTCACTTCGATTTTCATCTCAATATAATGCCAGTTCCATTGGTTCATCATATAGACTCTTCAACATATCTTTTCCCCCAGAGGGACGAGAATCTGCTGATATATGGCATATAAGTGCTGTTTTTGTCCTGGACAGGGCTGTGCAGAATGTGAGTGGGCGCTCTGGTGTGCAGACTGCTCTCTCTGGGATAGAGGCGTACAAAAACATCACCGACGCTGTCAACGCTGCAGAGGAGGCGGCGAAGAAGGCCAAAGAGGCGGCAGACAAAGCGCTCAATGTAGGAGACATCACCGAATGTGCATTAATGTCAAAGTTAGGATGCATGCAGCGGCCCTGTAGAATATTTGTATGCTTAAAAATGTCTGAATGTCACTGCATTTAAAGAAATAGCACAAGCACACTTTTCAAGCCAAACATTCGCAAAAAGACGTTTAAAATGATAAAACAAAGATTAGTGTTATAAAGTGATAAAAGGTCTTGTTGAATGTGTTGTGGTGAAACAATAGCAGAGCATAGTTAATGAGATAAATTACTCTGTTTGGAGTTTCAGATTAAATGGTCCTGAAATGAATTAGGGGTAACGTTTGGTATACTGCGTCCAAACTAAATTTTTCTACATTTTGAAAGCTCTTTTTTTATTTTTTTATATCAAGCTCAAATCTGTTTAGATTTATGGTTCCGATTTGCATGCAGTTTTAGAGTAAATCATGTTTTGGAAAATATTTTATATAATATTTGAAAATAGTTATTTTCTGTGTGTGAATTTTTCATTATTAACTTACATTTCTATAACTGTTTTCATATTCAGCAATAATGTGGCCAGTGGCTTCTTTCAAAAGAGGTCAAACTTAAGTCTGTGCTCCAAAACATTCAAGATTTAAGACAGTTTACGTTGAAACTTTTATTTGGTCTATGCTTAAAAAGTTGTTAGCAGATATTAAATGGATCAGAACTACTTTATAAATATAATTTAGTACAATAAAATACCCTAAAAATATAAATGATTAAATAATCAAAAAAATTAGCTAAAATATAGTACATTCATGTAATTAAAATAATAAAATAAAATTAAATTAAATAAATAAATAAATAAATAGATAATAAAAAAAAAATAATAATAATGTGGTCATCTGAGGAACCCCGGAGGGTTAAGTGTGACTTTGAGTTTTTAAGCACTTTCTTGGGCCAATGTATAATGCCAAACATACATTTGTTGATTTGTATTTTATTTTTTATTTTTTCAGGATGTCAGTGAAGGGGACTTAATCAACAGGGCAACAAATCTGAAAAACAATGGCAATAACCTACTTAAAGATGGCAAAAATGCAGCTAAAGATCTTAAAGGTGTGTGTGAATTCAAGAAAAATTCTGCGAAGATCAATCTACGTGTTGAATTTGCTTTTATATAATCAATCATTTGTTATTTAAACACTGTATTCTGTCTTCATCAGGAGCAACTAAAGACCTCAGTAATCAGAAGGAACGCCTGCAAGCTGTGGAAGAGAAGAAGAAAGCACTGGAAAAGGAGCTGCTCGCTGTTCAAGAGGGTTTGAAGGGGATTCAGAGAGGTGAGAAAAGAGCACTGCTCGACATATGACTGTAAGGACAAAACAAGCCCATTCCATACATGAGACAGTCTCACATAGACCAGCTCATTGAGAGGTTTGGGTTACAGAAGCTATATGAAACGACAAGTGCTGGCATGTTTGATTTACAAGCGCTTAGACTTAAAGAGACAGTTCACCCAAACATGAAAACTGTCATCATTTACTCATTCTCAAGTTGTTCCAAACCTGTTTGAGTTTCTTTCTTTAGTTGAACACAAAATAAGATATTTTGAGGAGTTTTGGTAACTAAACACTTGCTAGTAGCCATTGACTTCACTGTAAAAAATGACTGTGAATTTAACGGTAAAAGACTGTAAAAATGCTACAGTAAAAACCTGTTAAATGGTTAACGGTAAATTCCCCTACTATATACGGTGAAAAACTGTATTGGACATTACATGTAATTTTACGGTAGTATACCATTTTTGGAAGTGAAAAAGACACATAATTTACAGTAAATAACCGTAAATTGACATTCCCAGAATTCCCTGCGTTACATTTCAAATTTGATGTTTTTTTGTTGTTGAAATAACTATGTTTCGTCTTAGTTTTTTCTTATCAGTTGTGTATATTAGGGTTGTGTGTTACACCTAATGTTGTTAAATGAATGTTTATTGCATTATTTCAGTTTCGTGTGTGTTACCGTGATGGTGTTTAGTGTTTGTGTGAATGACACTGTGCACCTTCTATATATGTTATTATTTAAAAGCTGCTTGTGATGGGCTTTGGTTCATCATGTGACTTTCTCATCACCATCTGCTTTTGGTGGTTATCAGTGTATTACAAAGGTACAAAAAATATTTTAGTACTTCAATAGGTTGAAATTACGGTATTTAACTGTAAATTTAAGTTAAAACCGTAAAACCTAAAATGTTGCTACCGCATTTAATTTTTCGGAATCTTTTTTAGTGTTCCATAGTAATTTTTCCCCCATACTATTAAAGTCAATGGCTACCGTCATCTGTTTGATTTCCAACATTCTTCAAAATATATATTCAACAGAACAAAAAAAAAACTCACACAGATTTTGGTGAGTAAATGATGACAGAATTTAAATTTTTTTGGGTGAACTTTTCGTTTAAGACAGTTTTTCAGCAGGGATATGAACATCTTTGAATATATGTTTTCATTCTGTCCGATCACAGATGACATCGGTAACATTATCGATGCGGCTAAGAAAGCGGCAGCGGCAGCCAATCGCTCCACGAGTGACACAATGGACGAGTTAAGCAACATCAAAGCAGAAGTTACCAAGATCTCCATTACTCCTACTCTCTCTAATATGGACAATGTTCTCAATAATGTGGAGATGACCGGTAAGCGCTGCACCTGTTGTTTTTAATCAGTTTCTTCATCGTCTACTGTACCTCTTTAACTTATGCATTATTTTCTCATTCCGTCTGACAGTCAGAAATCTGAGCGGCTCCATCCCGTCCCTGTTGGATAAAATAGAAGAGATCAATTCTGAGATTAGCGCCGGGAACAACGTGACTGATAATATTAATAAGATAAAGGAGCTGATCGAGCAAGCGCGAGATGCTGCTAACAGAGTAAGGCTATTCATTTTATATATTCAATCAATTCAATCCACTCAATAGTACATTGAAAATGAAGCGTAAAGTGTAAAGCGAATTGAGAAAATTCAACTAGAGTAGAAATGACTGTGACGAGACACATGGACTGAAATAAAGATGCCGCTGATGCTGTCAGGTTTTTTTTCCTAGCATACCAACATACCGTTTAAAAGTGAAGCATGATTTGCTCTATCAATGCATTTATTTAATCTAAAATAGTTAAAATAGAGTTTAATCTCCCTACAGACAACCTCAAGATGTTCAAAAGTTTCTTTTTTCTGTTGAGCACAAAGATATTTTGAGGAATGTTGTTAACCAAACAGTTAACAGTCCCCATTGACTTACACAGTATTTTTTTTTCATACTATGGAAGTCAATGGCTACCTTTAAGGTACTAATATGCACCTTTTGGGGGTAAATGAGGTATAAAGGTGTACCTTTTGAAAAGGTTCTGCCCCAGTGACAGCTCTTGTAGCTTTTTGTCTGAGAGTGTAGTTCTCCTCTTAATGTTTCAAATCTCTTGCAGATTGTTGTGCCTATGAAATTCACGGGTAAAGGGCATGTAGAGCTGCGTCCGCCGCGAGACTTGGACGACCTGCGGGCGTACACCGCTCTCACCCTGTCCCTCCAGAGACCCGAGCAACCCCCCAATCGGCTCGACGAGAGCGGCCGGCGGCGGCGCCAGACAAATGATGACAGTCTGTTCGTGATGTACCTCGGAAACAAGGACGTGAGTGTAATTTTTACTGTGCATCAACTTCAGATCATTCAAATCTTTTCAGGCTACATCAGGCCTCATGCATGCATTCGTTAAATGTTCTGGCAGGCATCCGGAGACTACATCGGCATGGCTCTTCGCAATAACATCCTGCATGTCATCTATAAGCTCAATGGAGAGGAGTACGATATCGAGGCGTCCAGCATCACCGAGTCCTCATCTGACGTGGCTTTCTTCGACAAAATCGACCTTTACAGGTATAGTAGCATGCATCAATTACAAACCCTATTGGTGTTTTAAGATTGTTTATTTTAGGCAGAAACAGTTTGGTTTGAATCCCGGTGTTTCTCCATTACTTCCTGAAAGCTGTGTGCTATTGCTGTCAATAAAATGAAATTTTTTTCGGTATTACATAGTAAGTGTGAACATTTAGATGCAAGAAAAAGTGGAGTTGCTGCTGTATTATTGCATCCACTTTGCCACACGTGCACTACAGTTCATTTGAAAAAAAAAAATGCAGTATTTTACATTCTGAATGTAAATGTGTCTGTTAGTATCTCCAAGAGCTTCTGTAAGGTTTTACCTATGCATTATTGTCTTTGCATTTCCAGTATAATCTTGGTAATATGCTGAATGCATAACATCTTAGCATTATGCTGAATTTGTAACCATCATCTCTGCATTAATTTATATGCAAACAGCTGCGTTTGTGCAAACTGTTTTGTCACAAGTTGCCGCCGTTAAATATGTTCAAGTTTGCACCTATTTAAAGGAATAAAGTATGTTTTGTCCTTTTTGGGGGCTTTTGTTTAAAATAGTGGTGCATCTGCATTATAATGTCACTACTAGTATAGTTGTACTTGCATTATATCTTATGCACCTATTTTTATTTTTGCCCATATGTCATCTAGAATTTATCAAGATGCTCAAGTCATTCAAACAAAGCAGTTCACGTCAATCAATCCGAAGCCTCCGCTGCTGAAGGGAAACCTAGGTGAACTGACACGCAACCTGCTGGACCTCAGTCCAGATAAAGTGGTCTTCTATGTTGGAGGTTATCCAGATGACTTCAGGGTAAATATGCATATTTTTTTATCCTATAGGATTTTGTTGAGGAAAGTTACTTTTAAAAGTAATGCATTTTTTATGTAACGTAATGCATTACGTTACTTTTGCATTACTTTTTGTCTGAGCTGAGCTTGCTTATTTGTTTTTAATTACAAAAACTTGTTGTAAATTTAAAAGTAATGCAATACTTTACTAGTTACTTAGAAAAAAGTAATCTGATTATGTGACTCGTGTTATACTTGTAAAAACTGGTGATGAGCTCTTTAATTCTTGGTGCGTTTTTAAATACATATATGTTTTTAAAAAGAGCATTTCTCTCTTTTTAGCCACCAGCCTCTCTCAACTATGGCAAATACAAGGGCTGCATTGAGTTTTCCACCTTCAATGACAAATTCATCAGTCTGTACAACTTTAAGAACGCGGTTGATATTAACTTAGAAACCCCTTGCAAGAGGTAAGCTCTTAACACGTGACTGGAGATATGCTGATGTACTTATAAGTAATAATATATTCACAATATAACCCATAATCACTATTGGTTTGCATGTACGTGTTCAGAACAGTGACTTCAAACATCACATTGAGTAAAATCTGTTTCTGTTTCTTTTTGCTCAGACAAATCCCACTGACGATCTCAGAGTCAGATTATTATGAAGGCACCGGTTACGCCAAAGTCCTGCTTGAAAGATTCCCCAACTATCTGTCGATCAATCAGAAAGTGGAAACGAGAGCTAAGGATGCTCTTTTGCTGTATTTAGGAGACGAGGAGGATGTAAGAGCCTTTCATACACATTTCCAATTAAAGTAATTATTATTTTATTTAGTTATTTTCTTGTTTTCTTCATACCCTATCAGGACTTTTTCTACAGCGTCTCTCTTGAGAAAGGTTACGTTGTTCTGAGTGGCCAAAACAAAAATAATATTTTGGAGACCGTCAGAAGTCAGGATAAGCCAAGTCTTTCTCCGGTAAGGACGAGCCAAGTTGACTTTTTTTCTTTAAGATGTTGTATAAAGTCACAGTAGTGACAATTAAATTGCACTGTCTTTTGTATTTCAGGAAACAGATGTGAAAGTCTTGATTATTGCAGGAAGAGAGTTTAAAGTCCGAGTCGGGAACACCGAGGTCAAAAGGACGGACGTCATTCCACAAACGTTCAAGCACTTCTACGTCGGCGGGATTCCCAACTCTTTGCGTGAGAGGTCCGTGTCTTTCTGTTTTCCCTTTAAAGGGATCACGAACTGCACTTTTTTATTACTTCATAATGTTCTCTGAGGTCTGCTTATAATGCTAGCAAGAATGTTGCACCATAAAAACATCATAATTTAGAAGTAATAGGCAGAGCTGGGTAGATTACTTACAAATTGTAATCCATAACTGATTCCAAATTACATTACAAAAATCGTCAGTAATGTAATCCATTGCATTACACATTTTAGGTAATGTAATCAGACTACTTTAGATTACTAACTCGTTTATCACACTGATTTAAATAGGATAACCTTGTACTATATTGATATAAGAAAATATATTCCATTCATTGTAATTAACAACATAACGCGTATTAAACCTTACATTATGTCAAGGTTTCCCAAACTGGGATTGTGAAGGAAGTGCAGAGGCTTTATGAGTTCAGTGAAAAGCTAATAATGAATTAAATGCTAAATTGTCACAAATCATTTTAAAATGAATCAAAATAAAACACAAATTAAATATTTTATTTGTTTACGTGCATGTAATGTGACCATTTACCAACGTGAGAGAACCGTGATGCAATACTTCATCATTAAAATATTACAGAGAACCGTGAACATGCAAATGCAATAAAATATTTATTTTAAAATCTCAGGAGTACTTCATATAAAAATATATTAGGTGAAAGAGGATCAGATGACAAAAAAAGTTGGTGAATTTTTGCATGTAATGTGCTTAAAAGACAAACAAAAGTAATACATGGTAAAAGAACCCACTGAGTGATAATTCAAATAAAAATGAGTGTGTTCATCAGAAGCTGATGCAGCGTTGAAACACTTCTTAAACCTGAAATGATTTTTGTAAATCCAGTGTAGCCACCTGACTAATGACTGATCTCTGTGTCCGTGTCCACAAAACTGGAAGACTTTCTGACTGTATATAAGCAGTAGGCTATTTTAAAAAGATTAAACAGATTATTCATTTTTAATGAATAAATCATTGTTAGGTTACACTTTATTTTGATAGTCCACTTTAGACATTCTACTAACTATAAGTAACTTTGTAACTACATGTCAACTACATGTCAACAATTTCTCATTAATTTGCAACTACATGTCTAGTAACTCTCAGAGTCGACTGTTAGGGTAGGTTTAGGATTAGTAGAATAAGTTGACATATACTTGCAAAGTTTCTGATAGTCAGTATGTTGTATGTTGTGGACCCATCAAAATAAAGTGTTAGAAGATATTAAGCAGACAGTCTACTAATACTCTAATGACTGCTAGTTGACATGTAGTTGGAAAGTTACTTACTGTTAGTAGAATGTCTAAAGTGGATTGTCAAAATAAAGTGTTACCCATTGTTATTGTGTAAATAATATGTAATCATTTAATCCATAAAATGTAACTGTAGTCTGATTCTGAGTATTTTAAAATGTCATTTAATCTAATTACAAGTATTAAATTTTTGGAATCTGATTACGTGATTCGTAATCGGTTACAACCCAGCTCTTTTAATAGGCTGTTTTCTGTCCTGTTTTTGAGGCTGTTTTTATAGACGGGGAGCGTTCAAGAATCGGCAGTAAACGCCCACTGCTATTATTGGCTAACAGTTTCGCATATTAAAATAATAGTTGGACGCTGCTGTGATGCACTCTGCATTCAACATGGGTCATTTGGGTTAAAAATGTATAAATACTCCGTGCATATCAAACAATCAGGAACAGAGTCAAAAACACAGTTACTCACACTTATGTGTTGCGACACTGAATCAGATATACAGTAATCGGATTCAGCACTGCGTCATCTTTCATTTCAGTCTCTCTGAAAAGTCTGCGTCGAACCGTCTTGTTTAAAAACAAGTCCACAGTATAATGAAGCAAACAAAGTGTTTCGCTGACGTGATCTGGAGCTCTTTTCTAAAGTTTCCTGATGTTATGTTATTCTAGATACAACATGACTGTCAGTCCACAGTATAATGAAGCAAACAAACAGTGTTTCGCTGACGCGATCTGGAGCTCTTTTCTAAAGTTTCCTGATGTTATGTTATTCTAGATACAACATGACTGTCCCGGCTCTGAAAGGCTGTGTGAAAATCGGCACAGCGGGCGGCTCCACCCCGAGCGTCGAGGAGAAAGTGGGAGTCGGCAGAGGCTGCACTAACGAGCTGCAGGTAATCAGGTTCATCTTTCATCATATCTACATTTAACTGGGATTAAATGTGTCATTTAATGACCTGCCCAACTCAATCCCAGCAGCTGAGTCCTTAGCCATCTTCAAGAATCGGCTAAAAACACATCTCTTCCATCTTTATTTGACCATCCAACTCTAGCACGCTCTATTCTAATTCTATTCTTAAAACAATGACCCTTTTAGACTTGCACTCTATTCATTTACTAACTGCTTGTTTTCATAAAAAAAACTATTCTTTTTCTATTCTGTTTTCTTTTTATTTATTATATAATAATAAAAAAAAACTTGTTATTTGTACTGTGTTAAGCTAACTGAGACTTGTTATAGCACTTGCATATCATTGCTCTTTTGTTGATTTTGATTGCTTCCATTGTTCTCATTTGTAAGTCGCTTTGGATAAAAGCGTCTGCTAAATGACTAAATGTAATATGCTAGTTTGGTTTCTTCAACAGTCACAAAAAGAGAAAGGCGCTTAACCATCATGCTCTTTTCCAGATGGTCAGGAAAGCGGAGTTCAGTCTCGGCAGTGCACTGGAGAAACTCCATGAAGACTTCAGCTTAGACGATGTCAATCTTTCTCTGGGCTTCAGGAGTACAAAACCAGACGGCATCCTGCTGCAGAACAGCAAAAACGTGTGTATCTCTTCCACAGTCACACACACATATGGTCAAATGCATGCATACGTTCTATTCTCATTAGTGGGTTTGGCTGTTCACAGTCTAAAGGCCATTGCACACTGAGTCCGAAATTTTGGCACGTTGAAAAATAAATACGACCTCACATTGTTTCGATCACGTTTACACACTGCCTCCGAAACTGTCGCACGTCATAAAAAAAATCGGACTAGTTTTGATTTTTTGCGTTTTCGCATCTGTAGCAAGCATTTTGATAGGAAAGAATGACAAATACAAAAAATACGAAAAACGCATATACGAAAATTTCGGACCCAGTGTGCAAGGACCTTAACTCTTTGGGCCCTATTTTAACAATCTAAGCACATGGTCTAAAGCACACGGCGCAGGTGCACTCAGGGCGTGTCCGAATCCGAAAAGTTTGCTAGTTTAACGACGGGAAAACAGTCGGTGCCCGGGCGCATGGTCTAAACGGGTTGTCCCTATTCTCTTAATGAGTAATGGGTGTTTTTTGGGACCGTGCAATAAACCAATCAGTCTCATCTCCCATCCCCTTTAAAAACCAGTTCGCGCCATGGCGGGTTCGCTGTTTACATGGCGGAATGTAATTTTTCATTTTTTTAAATGTTTGTGTGCTGCTGCGCGTCCCTGTGTAGGTAATAAGCAAAGTGTACGCGTGTTGTGCACCCACCTATAGGCGCATATTACTAACGCGCTCTTTAAATAACAAAGAAAAAATATTGCGCCAGACTTTAGACCAGGTTTGAGTTGGTTTATGGCGCAGTCTATTTTCAGTTCCTCAAAATAGCAAAGCTCCAACAATGCACCTGAACACACCTCTTTTTTTAGACCAGCATGCCCATGGGCGCACAAATGGGCGCAAATGCATTTGCTATTTAAACAACGCGGCGCAGGACGGGAAAATGAGAAATGCGTCGCGCTGAAACTAGCAAAAACACTTGCGCCGCGCCTTGCGCCGGGTGTGTGATAGGGCCCTTAATGCCAAAAGCTTGAGTCTTGGGTGGGAAAACTAAAATGTTCAGAAGAGCCACGTACAGCATAAACAAACAAACAAATACGTACACAAAAATACATGAAATATACATTTGCTAAAATATATTTCAAAATATACAAAAAAATGGCTACAAAATTGGTAGAAAATATAATATTGAAAATACATTTGAAAAATATAAATGTTTTTTAAAGCATTTAAAAAAAATATTTTTCCATCCATATATTTCAGTCCATTCAAATTGGTCACATCTGAAGAACATATGACACATTTGAATAAAAATCAATAAGAAACATACAATATACTGTATATTTTATTGAGCTTCACTCTTTAAAACATTTATATAGCATATAATTAAAATATATTCTGGTCAGCAACAAAATATTTATTTTGTGCTGTATAGGGCATCTTGTACAAGAAAATCCGATCACGCAAATTTGCGTATTAGAAATTGTAGCAACTTCTTATAAATTCCTAACACTTTCTATTTAATATCAGTTTTAAAGGAAACTATCCTATATTTCATAGGTGGCTTTATAGTAGAGTTGTATATCACGCAGCACGTCTCATTGTGTATTTATCATCGGCACTGTGATCTCTCTGTGGCAGAATAAAGACATGGAGCTCTCCATGGAGAGCGGATATGTGCTCCTCAAATTCCAGGGCAGCGTCTGGAAATCTACTAAGCAGTACCAGGATGGAGAATGGCATTATCTCACTGTTTCCGGACAGGGCCAAGGGTAAGATTCATGTGCCTGGAAAGACAGATCATTTGAAATTGTCATATATTTTTGCCTGATTGCAGTTATTAATATGATTTGACAAAGTACAATATGATTAGAAAAATAACATGTGCATTTTATAACATTTACTCAAATTATTCTTTACTCCCCGGACCACAAATCAGTCTTAAGTCGCTGGGGTATATTTGTAGCAATAGCCAAAAATACATTGTATGGGTCAAAATGATAGATTTTTCTTTTATGCCAAAAATCATTAGGATATTAAGTAAAGATCATGTTCCATGAAGATATTTTGTAAATTAACAATGAAAACACAAGTTGCAGCCAATAGCGACTCATTACTTTAAATTAATTAATTGAGGGTTAGAGCACTTCAAAAACACTTGAATGCAATAAATTCTCCATATATTTATTAATGAAGACACATGTAATTAAGCATTGAAATTGTGAATAAGTTCTTCTAATTTATTTATTTATTTTTTCATACTGATGTTCTCCTTTTTGTTTTAGCATTGAACTTCGCATCAATGAAGAAGATGTTGGCCGGAGAGAGACAGGATCTTCATCTGGACTGTATTCGTCCAGCGTAATCCTCGGCAAAGACACCTTCAAGGGCTGCATCTCCAACCTGTATCTGAGGAGGTCATTATTAACGTTTTATGTCTCCACTTGCTTAAAACTCCTCATAAACCGGTTTACATGGTCTCTTGGTTTATAGCAGTGAACACGTGTGCTGTGTGTCAGCTCATGTGTGTTTTTGTGTTTGCAGACCTGCTTCTCTTTACAGAGCGGAGGATCTGAGCACTTACTCTTTCACAGGAGACGTGTTGTTGAACACATGCAGCGCCACACGCAATATCTAGCAGCGCAGCTATTAGCAGGTTGGTTTATCATCACCATTGAAACAACATGGCAACATCGTGTTTGGATTCAACAGCAAACTCAGTGTCTGTTTTGTGTTCTTTGCTTCCAGAGGCGAGGAGTATCTGACGCAGACATTTCACATAGAGATCTTTGGAAGAAATGCTGTTATATTACGGCATAACCAACTCACTTTAACCATCTGCTGCATTTCATTGCTTCATTTGCATAATTAAAGATATTTTCATGGCATACCTGTGGTAGTTTTCATTGCATGGTCCCATTAGAGATATAACAATTGCATTGCAAAAGAGAATTAAATAACAATTTTGCAATACTGGAAAGGTTTGCTGTGCTTTTGAGCACTTTTCCACCACATTTCAGATTATGCATTGTGATTAATAACATTTTGTAGTGATGAAATACAATGAAATTTTAAACATGGAATAAAATAAAACTCCTTTACATTGCTATGGCTTACTTAATAATTATATTACAAAATTAAACCGTATTTTCATGTCATTATATAGACTAACATTTGTCTGCTACAAGTTGAACTATGCACTTTACAACTATGGCAGTTGTATTTATAGTTTAGATATGTTTAGAAACATAGACTTTATACCATCTTTCATTCATCCTGCTATAAAAAGGGCCATGCATGGTTTTACTCGTGATTACACAAATACTCAGCTACTGATACACTTTCAATAGGCAAAGTTCATTGCAGAATCAAAGACTTTGATTATGGACCAAGCTATCAGTTTTCATCAATAGTTTCCATCCACCTATTTTTATGCACATTTTGGAATATCGCATAAAAAAAACGCCGGATGGAAACGCCAAGATGCGCATACATTCTAAAAATGCGCATAAAAAACATATGCACACAACTGAGTAGGATAAACTTTTTATCCGATAAGAAAACATGTGCATAAACTACGATGGAAACACATTTAACGAATAAATTCCACGATACGTATAAAAAAAAAGTCATGTGACTTTGCACGATGGGACGGGATAACTCGATGAACCATCGACTGATCTCGTTCACAGCATCTGAAATGTTGTTTTGGTCATTCTGAAATACCGGAGCAAAGTCTGTAACAAAGTTTTTCTGTATAATTGTCTTACAGCAGCATCCACCTCCGAAATAAATGACAGCATTTATTGTGTTTCGTCTGCTCGCTCTGAGGCGCAAGTAATTTATCATATTTGAAAATTATTATATTTGTTCGCCTACTTTTCTATGTAATGTCAGTTTATCAGGAAGTGACGATTTTGTTCTCTTTGACTCGTTGGATGGAAACGGTGCTTTATCCGCAAATGTTTTATGCGGTGTACCAGTTTTGCGCACAAGTTAAATTTGCAACTTTGGATGGAAACAAAGTACTAGGCCTGCACAATATTGAAAAAAAAAAACTGACATAGAGATATTGTCTGCAATATATTTTACAATATATTTAGACTTGTATAGCTTTATTTGGAAAGAATGAATTATTCTAGAGTTAGAGCTGCATAAAAAGTGAAAATGAAAAAAAAAAAAAAAAAAAAAAAAATTACTTGTGCTGCCAAAAACTTCAGTAGCCCTACCATAGCAATATAATTGTTTTTGTGACCCATTTCCATCCTACAAAGCTAAAAGTGAACGGTCAGTAATAAAATAAGAACAAACAAATATCAAGAAATAGGCAAAAACACTATTGTTAGTCTAACAATAGCATTCACTTACAGAAATTGAATAATCAAATGTAAAATAACACTGCAGTCTTCACTGTGTAAATTAATATACTGTAGATTAATCCTTGCTAAAGCTACAAAAATTATTTGGTCAGGAGCAGTGAGAGATTTTCTCTTTGGTTGTTTGATTAAGGTTAAGTCAAGTCAAGTCAAGTCAAGTCTGCTTTATTGTCAATTCTTCCACATGCACAGCACATACACACAGAGAATTGAACTCGTTGATGACATGACATTGACAATGACATTGACAGGAGTGAGTATAGGCTGCACTGTAAAAAAAAATCCGTAAAATTTACAGTAAAAAAATGGCAGCTGTGGTTGCCAGAATTTTACCGTAAAAAATACGGTAGCAAACCATTTAACAGGTTTTTACTGTAGCATTTTTACAGTATGTTACCGTTAAATTCATGGTAATTTTTTACAGTGTGCTGTTGCTTTAAGAACTAATGCACATCAGGTTTATTTCTCAACTGTTTATGTTCACTTAAGACAATACTGACTGTGCAAACAAGAAAACTTGCCAAGACAATTGTTTGTGTATTTGTCCATTCAAGTTTAAGCAGACGCAAAATAGAACTGAATTCGGTTTTAATAAAGTTGTCTCTGTCATATCTTCTTGCACTTGAATGGTGTAAAATCGCTTGAACGTTTCAATCGACAAGACTTGTATAAATGATAAACTTTCTTGACGCAACAGCACTTGTCTTTTGAGTGTCTTACATGTATTTACGTGTGTAAATACCATGGTTCACGCTGAAGGGGTAAAGAAAATATTTAATTACATCGCAGCCTGCACGATGTGACAATCACACTAAGCCACACCACGATATCTGTTTTATTTCTATATATTGTGCTGTCCTACCAAGTACTATGTTTTAACCATGTACCAAGTTCTTTATTTAATTTAGATCAGTAAAAAAAACTGTAATTTATAAAAAAAATTTAAAAATACTTACTGCAAAATGCCCAATACAATTATTTTATTGCTTCACCAGTGTAATATGCATTGCATTTTGGGCATTTTTAAATGCTATTTCGTGTAATTAACAGTGACTGTACATTGGGAATTTAAAGCAGTAGTGTTACTGTAGTTGATGTCTGAAGTAAAGGAAAGTTTGTTTCCCTCACAGCATCAGCTACTCTATGCAACGTTGAGCAAACCAAATAGAAAGAGAACTCCATGTTGGCTCCATCTATTTTCATTAAAGAAAAAAAAAAAACTCATACTGGTTTTGAATGACACGATGGTGAGTAAATGACAACAGATTTACATATTTGGCTGAACGATCCCTTTAATACACTGACCTCAGCACGGTCAGTCAACTCATAATCAAAATGACTTGAAATGCAAAATGATTTGTAAGTGCAACATCTTCAGTGCAGAAAAAGAAAGACAAGACTTGATTTTAGTAAAGCATATGCTAATATACAACATTATTGCTTGCTTGTAGATAAGAGTGTAAAACAACAGTGCAAACATTTAATGGAGCTGAAACATGAATTGTCAGCGATGCAACTCAGTTTTGAAGATAAACGTTCAACCGAGCGACCTCTACTTTGAATATTGGAGGAAACCAAAGGAAGAGGAAGCCACTAATATAAAAGTCACTAATAATTGTTTCCTGTAAGTCTCATCCTCTATAGTGTGTATTTGAGAGTAAAGCCAAATCACCCATATTCAAATCAGGGATGTTTATGCACTTACAAAGTACAATAATATGGTTTCTATTTATTCATTTCTTACTCACCTGAGATAAAAATGGAAATCAGTTGCTGCAATCTTCATGTTTTACATAAAACTCTGTATAAGCAAATGCATATTTACTCATTCACAACATGGACCAAAGGTGTGAAATCTCGCTGTGATAAGTATAAGATACAGCAGCAGTGATAAAGGCAACAGCAGAACTCCAAACTTAAAAAGACAATCAGTCATAGATCGGGGGGCGTCCAGGTGAAGAAGTTGACACCGCGCAGTTCCTCGGGAAGATATTCTTGCTCCACCGGTCCGCTGTAGTTTGGGTTGTATTTGTATCCTTTGGCGTAGCCCAGATTCTTCATCAGTTTGGTGGGAGCGTTGCGCAGGTGCAGGGGAACGGCCGGTAACGGGCCCTGATGCTTCCTCAGACAGCACTTGACGTTGTTATAAGCCTTGTACACCTCCACAGACTTGGGCGCTCGGGTCATATAAACCACACACTGCGCCAGAATGACCTCAAATAATTCAAGAAGAGATGTAGGAGAGAATGAAGATAAACGCTAGCGAGGAAGAGCTGGGTAACAACTAGAACAAGTATCTAAACTTTAATGAAGTTTGGAGAGGTGGACCTTCCCCGGTAACACTTTATTTCGATAGTCCACTTTAGACATTCTATTAACAGCAAGTAACTTTGCAACTACATGTCAACTAGCAGTTAGTAGAGTATTAGTAGACTGTCTGCTTAATATCTTCTAACACTTTCTTTGTCAACTTATTCTACTAACCCTAAACCTACCCTAACAGTCTACTCTGAGAGTTAGTAGACATGTAGTTGACATGTAGTTACAAAGTTACTTATAGTTAGTAGAATGTCTAAAGTGGACTATCGAAATAAAGTGTAACCCCTTCCCCGGATAAAATTTTGGTTTTGTTAGTATTTTTAGTTTGAAGAAAGACTAACATGTATAGTGATGAAAGCCAACATATTAAATGCCATGGATGAATATTTACTGCGTAATCCACTATTTTGTAGAGGAGGGTCAAAATGACTTTAGAAGATAGTTTTATTTTCACACAGAGATTGGTACAGTAGGTCTGTTAGTGAATCTGTTGACTTCGCTAGTCTTTGCTGCGTTGTACGCACAAGGCGACGGTTCAAAAATGGGAAAAAGCACGTTTCACATTTTTTTCTGCAAAGTTTGTAACTCGAGAAGATATAAGATTAATGTCCCTTTAGATGTTGGTTCTTCACAAATGTATCGGTCACACTTTATTTTAAGGTCCAATTCTTGCAATTCACCATGACTTTTTTGCTTCAATAAACTCCTAATTTGCTGCTTATTAATAGTAAGGTAGTTGTTAAGTTTAGGTATTGGGTACGATTAGGGATGTTGAATATGGTCATACAGACTATGTGCTTTATAAGCACTTATAAACAGCCAATATGTTAATGCTAATAAGCAACTAGTTAATAGTGAGAACTGGTCCTTATACTAAAGTGTTACCTATGTTTTGTTTGGAAATTATTTTATTTTTAAGGCCCTGAATGGTTCATTTCCAGAGATATCGTTTGATAGAGGAATGTCTGAAGCTGAAACTAGAAATGTTTTTGTTTCCCTTTATCAAAACAATGTATCAAAACAAAATAATTATGCTCCCCATCTTTCAAGTAATTTCCCCCCTGGATTACTCAATAAATATTCATACACTTTTTTTTTTCTTAAATTATGTTATTGTGTAATATATAGTATTTTCCACCAGAAATAACAAATAAAATAAAATAAAATAAATGTTTAGCCTGGGAACTCTGGTTGAGTTTACAAAAGTGCAGAACTAATGCTAAATGAAGCTCATCATGGAGCTCTTCAGCAGGTTTTTGTTTTTTGCATGCTTTTTTTATATAATTTATTCCTAGTTTTAATAACCGTTTTTCATGCTACTAAAATAACCTGTGCAAAAGTTTTGATTTCCTAATACATAAAAATCTAACTAATTAATGAACGGTTCTTAGCTTTTGTCTTTTGTCTTCTAGCCAGAATATGACGTTCCATTTCCCCAAGCACAAAAATGTTTTTATATTTATATTATTAATCAACATTAATAATCCTTATTGCAATATTAAGAGCAATAATCAACAATAGTGATTTTTCTTATAATATTGTAACCCTGTAATGAGTTCCTTATTTTATTATTTTTATTTTCTAGTTTATATGCATATGTAGGCTATTTACATTATGTATTATTTTCACGATTAATCGTTTGACAGCACTAGTATAAATATATATGTAAAAAGTTAAATTAATAAGAAAAAATGTACTTATAATTAAAGAAGTATAAATATAATGAAATATTAATGTATTAATGTGTATTTAAGAAGTTAAACTAATTACTAAGAAAATAAAAACATAAATAAATAATGGGCTTAAATGATGAGAAGTGTGTAGATTGTCAGCCCTGGCAGTATCTGCGGTGTGTGTGTGTGTGTGTGTGTGTGTGTGTGTGTGTGTGGTACCTCACACTCTGGCATGCCGATGAAGTGGCAGGCCTGGAACGCTGATACGGCTTGAGTGAGCGCCGCCGGGTCTGCCAGACCTTCAGGAGAGTCCACAACACATCTAGTCTGTCAAGACGCTCACTTTTGGATTACACACTAATCAAGTTTCTACTGCGGTAAAACAGTGGTTTTGGAAAATGTTGAAAAGTTTCCCTGCAACTCCGTTAATAAGTTGAACTGAAAAGGAGCGTCTGCTTACCGATATCCTCGCTGGCGAAGCGGACGAGTCTGCGGGCCACATACAGCGGGTCTTCACCGCCCTCCAGCATTCTGGCGAGCCAGTAGAGGGCAGCGTTGGGCTCGGAGCCTCGCATTGACTTGTGCAGGGCTGAGATACAGTTATAGTGCTCCTCGCCTGTGTGCGACACACACAAACACACACACACACACACACACACACACGTCACATTTTACAATCCAAACTAACTGTAGATATACTGTGGATGTGACATAGTATGGCACAAGAGCATTACACAATCAATTTTTTAAGCATTTAACAAAAAAACTGTGGTGTTTGCTTGCATCTTGATGTATAGTTTTCACCAGCATCTTGCAAGTGTTTACAGTGGCAAAGAATTGCAGCAGCTTACCTCAAAAATGCTAATGCACTTTTTTTTCCATTGAATAACTCACCCCCCGTCTCTTAATGCATTGTGTTGCCTTCTTGAGCATCAGTACATGTTTTCACCTTTTGTAATAGTTATCCATGAGTCCCTCAGTTGTCCGCAGTGTGAAAAGATGGATCTCAAAATCATAGTCACTTTTGGAAAGGGTTCAAATATGCAGAAGATGCTGGAAAACCAAAGAATGTGCAGGAGCTGGGGGGTTTTTCTGAAGAACAGCAGGCAGTTGAACTGCTCAAGACCAACGAGGGACTCATGAACAACTATCACCAAATATAAAGACAGTCATGGATCATCCAGGAAACGACACACAGTATTAAGATTCAAGGGTATGTAAACTTTTGAACGGGGTCATTTTTATAAATTCAGTTATTATTTTGTCTTGTAGAGTACATGTAAACATCTATTATGTGAAATTGCTTATTCAGGACAGTATTAAATAAACAATAACATGCAATTTTAACATGCAATCCCTCTTATTTTGTTAAAATTAACATTTTGCAATTCTGCATGTACATTTATGAGCACAACTGTTTATATATGTGAGCCTGGAGCACAAAAGCAGTCATAAGTAGCAGGGGTATATTTGCAGCAATAGCTAAAAATACATTGTATGGGTCAAAATTATTGATTTTTCTTTTATGCCAAAAATCATTAGGATATTAA